CCCAAAAAAAAAAAAAAAAAAAAAAAAAGAATGTAAAATGAAAAGACAAATGAATTTTTTTTTCATTGGTGTATTTTAACAGGTTATAATGGATATAGTTACTTGTGGTTATTTTTTTGAGGACCTGAATAAAAAAAAGTTGCATTGTTAGTGTATAGAAGTTTAAATTAAAAAAAAACAAGTAGAATAATTATCACAACAAGTGCTGTAGCTTAAGCTTTTACGGGACATCAGCTGACACGCTTCTACCTTTGCATTCTACTCATCAGATCTAGTATAAGATTACAATTATAATATAGTTACTTCATTAACTTTCAACTAGAAAGAGGAGAAAGTCAACCATTCTATTAACCATTCAACTAAAACAGAATTTGTTTTCCTCAACCCTATTCTACCTTACCTCAGAGTTGTCCCTGTCCTCCCAGCTCGTACCTGACCTATAGCCTATTTCGCGAAAAATCAGTTTAGGTTGAGAAATGCTTTTCGATAAAGTATTTTTCGATAAAATACTTTTGGAGAAAAGCAGTTTGTGTTTCGTTAATTAATTTGAAAAATATTTTTGAACAATAATTTATGTTTGGTCAACACTTTTAAAAAGTGTTTTTATGTGTCAAATTACAAATAAGGACATAAAGAGATTTGTTTAATAGTTAATATTATATAAGTAGATAAATAATTATAAATATTTATTATTAAAGATAATAATTAAGTTTTTTTGTTTTATTTAAGTAAAATATAAAAATAAATTGAAAAGTACTTTATTCTTTCAAGATAATTTAAATATATCAAAAAATCATCCAATAAATATAAAAGTTCATCCCAAAAGTTATTTTATATTACTTAATAATTTAAACTAAGTAAGATTATTTTTGTATATATAATATTTTGCAAAGGGTATTTTTGTTAGGAAGAAAGTCAAAACTGTTTCTGCTTCTACTTCTGAAGAGAAACTATTTCTTTCTGGTTCTTCAAAATTGTTTCTGCTTCTAGTCAAAAATACTTTTTTTAAATTAAAAAAAATACTTGGCCAAACACCTCAAATTGATCAAAAAAGTATTTTTTTGAAAGAAAAAAAACATTTTTGGCACTGTGAGAAGCTTGACTAAACATGCTACTAATTTGATATGTGCGTATTTTAAGAATAATATTTGAATAAATTAATACAAGAAGTTTGTGTAAAACATTTTTAAAAAATAATTTAAATACAAACAAGTACTGAAGTAGTAAACGAAGAAAAGACAGCACATCAATTCAAGATATAGTATTGCCAAAAGTATGGAGTTATTGAGAAAAGTTTGTCATTTTAGAAGTAGGTCAATATTTATTTTTTTTGGAGTGGAAAAAAATAAGATATTTTGATTGGGATGCAGTGAACGTAATAATGTTAGTAACTGAGATGTAACTCAATTACTAAAGTTGAAGGGCTAATGAATTTAAGGTCGATCTGCTTTATATTTTACTAAAATATACTCTTTTATAGATCTTTACTTAAATTCGTCATATATATAGACAAGTTCTGAAATTAGTTTGAATGGAATATATCATGAATTCCGTATTGTTATGGACAAAGAAAAATCTTTCAATTGAAATTTTAAATGATTGAACTGAGAGGAGATTTATTAGTAGCTGAAAAGTTTGTATGTATCTAATTGTCAGTATATGACGAACTTGTTCTTATTTACAAGTAAACGTACAAAATTTAGAGCCAACAGTAGATCTCAACAATAAAAGAACTTCCCAGCAGTGATTCATAGTACGGTAATTCCGGTGATGGGATATTAATTCGAATTCCAGTACAGTGTTCAAATCTATATCAATTCATTTGTACTTTCGCCACTCTTCTAATTCCAGTGATGAGATATTGAATTACACTAAGCATCTGATATTCGAATATAGTAGCCCAATTAATCAAGATTTGCGACACATAGAGCCCATTAAAGGAGAAACACTATTTAACAAAGAATTTTTAATTTTTAGGGTTGGAAATCCGTGACTTATCGAGTTATCATTAAGAATGGGGATCTTATCCATCCCACCACAGTTTTCTGAATGGTTACTTATATATTATTTCAATATTATTTCTTTCAGATTTCACTGCCTCTCTCATCCCCTTAGGTCTCTGAGAATAAAGTCTTAAAAATGACAGATATCATCAGCTCAACCACATGAAAACAACTCCTAAGTCGTGGAAGTCATAGATTAAATGTTTGCACGATAATTTCAAATAGCAATCATTCTTATTTTATGTGTATTTCCAAGTCAATTTAATGAGAAATTACTTCAGTAATGGATAGTACCTATTGAGGGCTTGTGCTTTATATCCGTCTCCTCATATTTATATATTTGGTTTTTATTAATTTCAAATATTATTTTTTTCAACTTCAACCAAATATTGTCCAAACGGCACAGTCCCCCGCTTTCCCCTCTGCTGCTGCTTGTCCACGAGTACTTGTCATTAATGGCATAATTAAACTTTGATATGTCAAAACTTAGCTTGGTTCTACTAATCGAACAAAACAAAATTTAATTAAAGTAATTTTGTTTAAGTACATTATATTGTTGACACTGCACAATATTTTACAGCTTAATTATTCGTATCTAAGATGTCTTGTCATCTCTTTCCCACAATGCGGGATGAAGGTTCATTTAATAAAATGAAGAGAATAATCGATGGAGGGTTACCACATCCAATTGAGTTATTGTAGACTTTGCTAGATAAAGATTAACACTTGTTTCGAAATTGAAGGTTATTAAAATGAACAGAACAAAATATTGTGGCATAAGAGCAATATATAGTTGGATTCACATTATTTATCTGTAATTCAAAATGTAGCGTTGATAGAGAACATTGAAAATGGACCACAAAATGTTATGTAACGGAGAGTCTGAACAGGACCTTAAAGGGCAATCTTTGGGAAGACAAGACAAGCTTCATTTTCTCTTTACAAACATGACTTTGCTACTGCCATATTGACATGCGATGAAAATATGAGATGTGATAGTTCTCAATTATGTTAGAGAAAAGAAGTTGACAGCCATCTTTTTCAGCATTACTACTTTTTATGCTAGTGTTTCTTTTGTGCTTTTACAACAGCATTACTTCTCCCATCCTATACCAATAATCATCCACGAAAATTAAAAGGCTAGCCCCTTTTTTTTTCTTCTCATTTTCACCTAAGAAAGATTAAAAGTTAGGGCTATAAGGTCTACAATAATTATGCTAGCTATAATAAATTGCAGAAATTAGCGTCAGGACAAAGTGCTGCATAAATTAAGATCAAAGATTTCTGTCTTCTCTGCTTCACTGACAGCTACGCATCTCTCTG